ATACACTGTTATATATTTATATTTATTTATTTATAGATGTCAGTAGTTGTAAAAATACCTAAATACTTTTTTTTTACTTTTTGTTTGTTAATATGCCATCCTAATCTAGAGTACGACACGTGGAATATAGTTATTATATTTGTTCTTCTTTTTTGTTTTTTTGTTTTGCTTTCAAGGTACAGTACAAATACTATTCGAGGTCAATAGGGAAGTGTGTTCAAATTTCGCGGTGATTATGGTTTGCCAGTTGGCTTTCAGTGATAAATCAAAGGAAAATGTTAAAAAAAATTTATTAATATTAAATATAAAATTAAATATAAAAATGATTTTTTCAATAATTTTTTAGGGGTGTCGGGGTTGAAATCTCCCATGTCTTTTTTACGGATTTTCCAAAACTATGATTCGATAGGTTTGTAAACGTGGAATTTTATGATAATGGTTTGGAGACTAAGGAAAATACAGTCTTTAGGTTGTTTTAAAAATGCACGATTATGACACAGGAGATTCCCTTAAAAATCAGCGTTCTTAAAAATCCGCAATTACATCCCTGAAATAAAATTAAGAAAATTAATATAATTAATAGGCCTAAATATTTTAAATGCCCAAAAATGGCGTAGATATTTTTAACCTGATTAGGGCACCGGTTACTCGGTTATTCGACCCGAATGTTAATAAAATGAAAAATTTCGGTCAAAAATTAGGTATTTAGGTATAGCTCCCATATACATTTTCCTCCAATTTGCCCTATATTGTGCACTAAACTTGTAATATCAGCCCAAATAATCTGGAATTTTGCACATACGACCAGATTAGATCTGAAAATAAGTATGCCAAATTTGATCGAAATAACGATATTCTGTAATAACGATATTTTGTGAAATATATCAAATACAGATCAGAAATACCGTTGCTTAAATTAATCGAGATCGGTTTGGATTTGGATATAGCTCTCACATATATATTGGTCCGATTTGCAATTTATTGTGCACCACACGTGTAATATTGCCATCCAAATAGGATAGCATTTGGAAATTACAACCAAACTGAGTTTAGAAATAAGTATGACAAATTTGGTGAAAATCGGTTCGGATATAGACTTTCTTTACTGGTTAATAATCAGATTTCTGGTATGACACAGGAGATTTCCTTGTAAATCGGGTTTCTTAGAAATCCACGATTACATCCCTAAAAAATGTCGATTTAATAGGCTTAAATATTTTAAATGCTTAAAAATGGGGTAGATATTTTTAACCTGATTAGAGCAACCCGGATACCGGATTTTATCCGGTTCTACAAAATTGATATGTACAAATGGGTATCATTTGGAATCTTATTGAACCGGTTCCGGATCATGTAAGTTCCGTCTGTCCATGTCCATTAGTAATTACGCTACAGGTTAGGAAAGGAAATAAGCCTATTATGTTTAGAGATAATCGCAAAATATTTAGGGGTTAAAATGGACCAAAAACAGAAAAATTCCTGATTTTGCAGTTGCTCCATAGGCTCCCATTTTTCGAAATTAATTTCAATTAAATCATTATAAACGTTTATGAAATATTTACACGTTTTTTAACTTTTCTGAGATATCCATTATTCTTTTTTATGTCTGTCACTTTGGAAAGGAGGGTATATTCAATTAGCCTCCATTCAACCATACCTCCAGATATTTTGTATTTTAATGATTTTAGCCCCATTTTTAAAGTACTTATTAAAAATTTGATATTAAGAGATTGTAACGCGGTCACCCTCAGAAAGGTGAATATAGCCTGTATGGGTCCATGTCTTGCTATAGCATCCGTATAAGGATATACTGTATTTTGACGGTTTGAGTCATATTTTCTAAGAATTCTAAGAATATATCTAAAATTTGGTATTTTTCGTTCATAATGGATTCGAGCTCTGGTAGCTGAATATTGTCTATACAGGCCCATGTTTTGTTATAATGGCACCTTCCGATGTGCCATTTTTTTTGCCAGAATTTGATTGTGATCCTGAAATGCATCACGAATTTGCAACTTGTGTAGCTTATTGTTGAGAGTAAAGAGTGGGTGAAATCAAATGAGATTTTTTTTTTGAATATTTTGTCCTTCTAACTCGATTACGTCCATCAAACTGCAAAATAAGTTCCACATGAGGAGATTTTCCCCATAAAAATATTCTATAAAAATGTTGCTCATAAAATACGAAATTTTTTTAAACATTTGACGAACAATTGCCAATATTTATTTTTTCTGGTAGCTTCAAAGCTTAACAATTTCCGAAAATCATTTCAGATTGTATAAATTTTTCGTTTAACTATTTTAGGTCCAGTCAAAAATTCCTTGAAAAATTAGATTTTGTGTAAGGGTATAAAGATATCGGCCCTCGATATCGTGTAGGCCCCATATAACCGTACCCCCGATATTCGGTATTTTCATGATTACAGCCAAAATTTTCAATAAAATTGTCTCAAAATCCACAAAAGGAGGTCCTTCTGAGTACTTTACCCCCTGGAACAGTATTGTCTACATAGGTCCACGATATCGTATTTTCCTCATATAACGTTACCTCCCTATAATCGGTATTTTTATGATTTTGGTTACATTTTTCAATGCAATTGACTACAAATCCATACTAGAAGTTCTTTCTTAGCACTTTACCCCCTGGAAAAGAAATGTCTATATAGGTCCACGATGTCGTATAGCCCAAATACAACGGTATCCCCTGATATTCGATATTTGGACGATTTTAAAGACATTATTCACCGGAGTTGTTTGAAATTTCGTGTTAAAAATTCGTAATGGGCATCACAGCTTATGCCAAAATGTTGCGTAAGCAGGTCCACGTCTTCGTATAGCTCCCATATAACAGTACTTCCCAATATTAAGTATTTTGATGATTTTAGCGACATTATTCACCGGAATTGTTTCAAATTTCGTATATAGAGTTCGCAATGGGAACTACAGTCCATGACAGGAAATTGTCTGTGCAGGCACATGTCTTCGTATAGACCTCATATATCAATACCTCCCTATATTCGGTATTTTAATGATTTTAGCGACATTATTCATCGGAATTGTTTCAAATTTCGTATTTAGGTTTCGTAATGGAAACTACAGTCTATGAAAGAAACTTGTCTATGCAGGCTCATATCTTCGTATAGACCTCATATATCAGTACCTCCCTATATTCGGCATTTTGATGATTTTAGGTACAATATTCATCGAAATTGTTTCAAATTTGGTATTTTAAGTTCGAAATGGACACTAAAGCCTAAGGCAGAAAATTATCTTTGCAGATCCACATTTTGGTATAGGCCCCATGTAATAGTACATCCCTATATTGATGATTTAGCTACATTTTGCATCGATTTTTTTCAAGTTTCGGATTTGAATATTGAATATTATGCAGGTCCAAGTAGTCGTTTAGAACCTAATATGAGGGCTATGGATTTTATTTTTTTGAAAATTTCCAAATTGGTTTCAAATGGTGGAGGGTATTCAAAGTTCGGCCTTGCCGAACTTACACCTTTTCGACTTGTTATTTTTGTTTTTCGGGATTAACCCATTATCTTTGACCTGCTGGCAATGCAGAATGTTTTAATGGGTTATTCGTCTTACACATACCCAAAGTTTTTTCTGGGTGCTAATAATTTTTTTTAAGGTAAACATTTTTTTCCTTGCGTTTTTTTATTTTTTACGGCAAGTTGAAAAGTTTAGGAAAAAATATTTATCCTATGAAACGAATGTTGAAAATTAGTTCCATATAGGAGGCTTTTTTATTTTACTTCATTATATTCTATTGATTTTTGGTATAATTTCCCATAGATTTATCACTGAAACAACGTGCTTTAATACCTGATTTTTATATTGAACACACTTGATGGTAATTATTAATAATTAATAGTAATATTCATTTTTTTTGCAAAAATTAAAAATTAAAGCCATTGTACTAAAATATATATTTTTTGTTAATGCTCTTCCATAAGACATATTATAATATACGAAATACCAAAAGCTATATATATAGAGGAAGGAAAAGGGGGAATGTAGAAAGTTGAGAACCGAAAACAAAACGAAATTCTTGAAAATAAACTCTAACTGGCGATGATTTTTAGAAAAATAAAATTAAAAAAAAAATATATATATATATATTTCAAGTGCTTATAGACCTGGCCACAGAAAAGGATTTCATTTCTGTTGATTAAAATTTTTTGAAAAGATAACCTATTTATTTTACGACATAGAAAAATAATATTCATACAATACATATAATTATAAAAATAATATTTATACAAAAATTCACAACCTATTATTTTTGTTGGATTTTTTACACCTGTTTTCTGAGACGGTTTCTTTGTGAAAAATTAAAATCTTTTTTTTTAATTTTTTTTTAAATTTTTTAATTTTTTTTATTTTTTTTTTATTTTTTTATTTATTTTTTTTTGTTTTTCATTAATTTTTTTTATATTTTTTTTATTTACTTATTTATTTATTTTTTTTTTTTTTTTTTGATTAACTGAAGATTTGATTTCCCACAGAGAGCCAGTCTTGGATTTTCTAATATTTATATATTTATATTCTTTTTGTTTTTGCTTTTTTTGTTTTTTGGAAAAGTGATTTAGAAAGTTGGTGTTTTGTAAAAATTATTGTTGTTTTTGTAAACAAGTGTTTTCAGTGTTAATTATGTTTAAGTAGCTGTGAGTGGGGGTTTTTTGTTTTACTTGTTTTTTTTTTTATTTCAAGTAATTTTTTGGGGGGAATTTAAGCAGTTGTTAGTATGAAGAGAGAAAGAGTATAGTTGTAGTGAGTTTTTGTATATATAGTTGTATATAAAGTTGTTATTGTTAAAAATATTTTTTTTATTTTTTTGTAAAGCCTTTTTTTAGATTTGGTAAATTGGTAGTGGTGTTTGTTTGGTTTTAATGTTGTTATATAAAAAAGCAATATTTTTTGTTTGTGTTTTTTTTTGTAATTGTAGTTTGTTTGTTTTTTTTTTTTTTGAGATATTCGGAAACTTACCTATAAATAAGAAAAATATAAGTAAACCTAATTCCCGCATAGAGGCTTTGAGGGTTCGTCCTAAAATTTGTAAACCCTTCGAATGCCTAGATAACTTAAATATTCGAAATACTCGAACTAATCGTATCACTCGTAATATTGCCAAGGACATAGCCTGATTCGATGACTTGTCCTAAAAATTACAATTTAATAACGTATTTTACAAACAATTAATTTGATTTTGGTTTTTAATAATAATAATGATTTAAAAACAATTAATTATGTAATAACAAAACAAAAAAAAATCATAGAAAATATTTATATATATATGGAATAACATTGACCAAAGAAAAAGTATTATTAATTTTTTCAACGAAAAATAAAAACGTAATAACAAAAAATATATTTGTTATATATTTAATTATATATATGTATGGTATATATATATATTGATCAGCGATCATGTAGATATATAGTTTGCATTTTCAGGCATTTCAATATTTAAAAAAAAATTATAAATAAAATCATATTTTTTTTTTTCATCAATTGTTTACTGTCAAAACTAAAAACTCAATTGCAAATTTAGTATTTTTTTACTATGTATGTTTGGTTGTTGTATTTGTTATTATTTTTGCGGTTCGTTTTTTCGTGTTTTCCAAATATTACTTTTGTGTATTTGTTGTAATTAACATTTAACACAATCATAATAATAACAATAAGTAAAGGCAACAAAAAACTTAAAACTGGTCGCTAGGTCAGTTGCTCAGTCTGTGTGTGGGTGTGGGTGTGTTTGTGTTAGTGTTTTGTGTTATTTGTATCCGTCCCAATGTCGTCTGTGTGTGACTATCCGTCTGTGTATCTGTGTCGGGCAGTGTAGGTCATTTTCAGTGTAACGTCCATTTTGAGTTTTTAGATATTTTCATTTTCATACATATATGTTGTTGTAATACTATTTTTTGTTGTTTTTTTTTTTGTTATTTTCAAATATTTCTTACAAAGACATGTAAACAAATTGAACGTACCTGTGGACTAACTGGCGCTTTTGGAAGATTTAATGTATCCTCCTCTTCGGCTACGACAGTACCCAATGTTATGAAATAAGGAATGATGGCGATTATGTCGATAACATTCATGACATCCCTGCAGAAATTTAATTTGTTCGGACATGCGAGGAACCTATTTGTTTGTTTCATTTTTTTTTCGGTTTGTTGTTGTTGTAGTGGTTGGTTTTTTTTTTCAAAAAAGTAAACGATGATTGAAATTGAAATAAAGATTAATTTGCAAGTTGTTGTAAAAAAAGGTGGGGTATTTTTTTTTTTGTAAATTGTTGTTTTTGGTTAGTATTCGGAGTAGAAAGAGAGATTTTGGTTTCAGAGAGATTTTGTTTGGTTTGGTATGGACAGAGACAGAGAGTTGTGGCGTTAGAGTTCGTTGGAGTTGTGTGTCAGGTTTGATGGCTTTGTTTCCTTACTCAGAGAAATTTGAGGATCGTTTATTTCAGAGAAATGTTTTGTGTTCAAAAAAAAAAAAAAAAAAAAAAAAAAAAAAAAAAAAAAAAAAACAAAAAAAAAAAAAAAAAAACAACAAAAAAATTAATTAATAATTACTATATATTTTTATACCCTACACCACATACCCTACACATTGGAGAAGGATGCGAGATAGACCCTTAGATACTTTTGAGGATCCTCTTAGAATCACTTTCTGAGTCGATTTATGCGTGTCAATCGGTCCGACCGTCTGTCCATGAATTTTTGTGAAAAAAAATTCAGGTCGCATTTATTATCCGATTGAGGTGGAATTTTCCAAACAATGAAATTGAAATTGGTAAGAATCGGTTCAAATTTTAATATAGCTCCCATATAAATCTTCAACCGATTTCGGGTTAATTGTGCACCAATCTCAGTCCAAATGACCTGAATTTTGGCACATCTGACCGAATTAAGTCTAGAAGCAAGTACATGAAATTTGGGGAAAATAGGTTCAGATATAGTAATAGATCCCACATATATGATTCATCCGATTTTGGTATAGAATATTTATCTTTATTTTTTATACCCTCCACCATAGTATGGAGGGTATATTGTTATTCCTCCTCTGTAACACCTCGAAATATAGATATTAGACCCCACAACGAATATATATTCTTGATCAGCATAAAATTCTATGTCGATTTAGCGATGTCCGTCCGTCTAGCCGTGTGTCCGTCTGCGGAAATCACTCTAGCTTCCGAACGAAAAAAAGTAGGTTAGTAAAATTTTACTCAAACGGTACCTCTCGATATTCGGCATTTTGACGTTTTTGGCGACATAATTCACCGGAATTGCTACAAATGTGGTATTTGAAATCTGTAATGGATTCTACAGCCTATGACAGAAAATTGTCTGTGCTGGTCCACGTCTTCGTATAGCCCCCATATAACGGCACCTCCCGATATTCGTTATTTTGATGATTTAAGCGACATTATTCACCGGAATTATTTCAAATTACGTGTTTGGAGTTAGTAATGGGTGACAGAAAATTGTCTATGCAGGTCCAGGTCTTCGAATAGGCCCCATATACCAGTACCTCCCTATATTCGGTATTTTGACGAGTTTAGGTACAATACCCACCGAAATTGTTTGAGATATCGTATTTGAAATTCATAATGGATGCTACAGCCTATGACAGAAAATTGTCGATGCTGGTCCAGGTCTCCGATATAACGGTACCTCCCTACATACGATATTTTGATGATTTTAGCTATATTATTCACCGTTTATTTCAAGTTTCGAATTTGAATTTGGTAATGACTTATGACAAACAAAGCCTATGTACGTCCATTTCGTATAGACACCAATTTAACGGCTATATTTTTAAAATTTTAAAACAGATTTCTTTAATTTGGATTTTCTTCCAAATTCGTTCCAAATGGTGGAGAGTATTCAAAGGTCGGCCCGACCAAACTTACTGCTTTTTAACTTGTTTTTTTTTTATTAATTTTTTTTTAATATATTTTTGAAGAGAAATATTCTTTTTCTTTTAATTAAATAAAAAAATACGAAGGTATTGTCTCTTCTTTAATTTTTTAAATTATTTTTTAATTTTAATTTTTTCTAGAGACCTTCTTTATAGAGGCTCTTTAAAATGGTATTTTCTCTTTTTGAGTAATGGCGTAAATGGGCAAGTATGCACGCTACCGTTGATGTCTCTTATTCTCCTTCAGGGGTAAAATATCAACAAACATACATATATGAATAATTTTTAACAATTGTTTCTATTAATTAATTTTTTGAGATAATTTTAGATAATTGTTATTCTATTGTTCTTTAAAAATTTATTAAATAAATAATAATTCAACACAGAAAGGGCATTTAAAAATTCTCTTAAGCATTTCTCTTCCATTATTTTGCCCATCTATGGTAATGGTTAGCTCCATATTCTCAATTGAGAAGAAATCCTTTCTCTTTTTTCTTTTTTAGATATGGTGACGAAATATTTTCTCTTTAAAAGAGAAAGTGCTAAGGAAACAAAGCCATGTTGTGACGTTAGTAGGAAAATCGAATATTTGTTGTGTTAGTATGATGTTCTGTTTTCTTTTTGTTTATCAAAAAAGTGTTCATTTTGGTGTGATGGAACTTTTGTGTACTTATTACTATTTGTATGGCGTTTCACATATTAAAAAAAAAAAAAAACATTGTTGCCACATGCATTTACTTTTTTTTGTCGTTGGCATTTCATTTCCGGGGGAAACGCTCACATATCAATAATAACAATATCAAGAACTCCATCACCAAGATTCAAATCGTTGTATGTTTCCAAAAAAAAAAAAAAGAAAGGGCAGGCAGGGTTTGGGGGGTCGATCGATGACAGCGAGAGATAAAATAAAACTTAAAAAGGTTGGTTTTTTTTGGTTTCTTTTTTTTTTTGGTTTTTTTGAAGGAAAATTGTGTGTTCACATAGTTCCTGATACATTTCTTATGTTTGGCATGTCCGTTAAACTTTTTGCAAGAACACAATTGTAGAATTGTGTTAAAAATGGTGTCCTTTGCCTCTGTGGGCAAAACATTTCATTTCAGAGGACGTATTTTTAACAACTTTCGTTAAAATGATTGAAATGATTTGGTTGTTGAAGATTACTACCATGCCACAAGAAGATTCGCTACATTAGACTATGGGAATTCTATGAAAACGAAATCACTTCAACTAACTACACAAATTTGAAAGAAACGTAGAAGGGGGGGAGGACGGAGGGCCCATAACAACTGGGGGTTGTTATTAACCGAAAAAAAAAAAATAGAATTGGAAAAAGAAACGAAACGAATTTCAATTTGAAAATTTCAAATTTTGTAGATTTGCTGATTGGTTTCATACATTCAAGACAGTAACAGAGACATAGACCACTAAGACTATGAAAGGGAAAAAAAACGAAAGTAAAAATTCAAGAAGAAAAACTTAAGATTAACAAAAAGTTTCAATCAATCAATCAATTAAAAGAGGGTCTTTTCTACGGCATGCCATGAGTTTTGGGAGACGCTTTGCTTGATTTGTAACAATTCAGTTTTTTTGGAGGATTTTTTTTTGCTCTGGGTTGACTGCGGATGCCTTAAATCTGTCCAAAATTCTCCCAATTTGTGCCATATGTTGTTGTAGCTTAAAAGTTCCAGTACAGTTTGGTCATCAGTAGTTATGCTATTCCACACACAAAAAAACTTGGCATAAATAGGCAAGTAAGATATATACGATATAGAGAGGTAAGATAGCTTAGAAGAAAGGCGGAAAGGGGGGGGGGAAGGTATGGCTAGAAATAGCTATTTAATAATATTTTACAAATTCTCCTGACATGGTTGGCATTCGAAAATAAAATGAAATTATTTAAAATTAAATTATTTGTTAAAAAAAGAAAATATCACCCATTAACAATTAACACATTTGTTTGGCAAGTTCCATCACACCAAAATTACACGGGTTTCTGTGTAGCGGAGTAATGTTGCTGGTTTGGCGTCTCTCTCTTTTTTTGTGGGTTGCGCATGCGCACTGTGCCCGTGTTGTTTAGCTTACCTAACAGTGAGTTCAAATGTAAACCAAATAATACATAACGTTTCTATAAGGAAGAAAGGATCTGTGATGTCAGGCACCTCGTCTTCCTCGATTTTTGTGCCATTTGTAGTTGTGTTGAACACCTATAATGATATACACATATATTTATATAGATTTATTGTAAATGAAAAAGGAAGAAAACAAAAAAAAAAAAGACAAAGACAAAAAAATAAATAATTCATAGAATAATGATAATTGAAACCTGAAAATATATATTCCAAGAAAATAATTTACATTGAGGAATAAAAGTAAGGGGTGAGAGGGGAGGTGGGGAGAAATGTAGTCTATATAAAATGGAGAAGTATCTACAAAATATATTCTATTTCAAAAAAAAAAAAAAAAAAATACCCAAGTGATTTAATAATGATACTATATAGTTGGGTTATAGGGAACTGGATATTATTTCGTTTTGGGAAAGAAGACATTGGAACTAACTATTCGAAATGCAAGAGAATTATCAACGGTTTTATCCCAACTACTTACAGGAGCTTAGCAATAAAAATTATGCATAGAATACCAATGAGTTGTAAAAATTTCTAAAAATTATGCTTAGAATATTAATGAGTTGTAAAAATTACCAATTAGCAATATTTGATGTTTCTATTCTCATGAAGAAAATATATCCAAAAAAATAAAAATATAAGCTCTCTTTTTTTACATTGCACACTGATAGCGGACGTCAAACCTAGAATTTTGTTATATAACTTATTATTTATTTATATGATTTTAATTTATTATATTATTTTGTTATTATATACAATTTGGGTTTTTTATTTTCATATATTTTGTTAATTGAATTTTTATTTATTTTATATATATTTTGTAACTTTATTTTTTTTTTTAAATAAGAAACCTCCGATGCCATTTTAAATGAAACAAATGGAAGTGGAACAATATATATTTTACTATTGTATAAAAGTTTTAATTTATTATTACATTATTATTAATTAATTTTTATTTTTGTTCTTAATTAATTGTAATATAAAATATAATAATTTCTTATTTTGTTATTAATTATGTATTTATAAATTATTATATTAATTTATTAAAAAAATAATTGATTTTCTTTTTTGGGGTAGATTTGCACTCTTATCCATATCCCACAAGAATGTTACATAGACTCACTTATATTATATATTGTATGCAATTTTTGAAAAAGGAATTTATGTTAATTAAATTTATGTGCGATTTTTTACCCTCAATAGAATTTAGTACTCCCTACAGAGTTTTTTTTGGTACACAACTATCCGCTGTCTAACGCAGAGCTACCCTCATAGAAAAATGCATAAGTTTAGCTCTTCTACTAAATTTAGTACCATTTAGTACTTTTCGTACACGCCGCCTTATCTTTACATCTTACATTCATAGTGATCCTAATGCCAAAAATTCATATTTCCAGTTCTATTCATACACTACCTTTTAGTACTTTTTTTTACCCAAAATCATATTGGTAACACAATTTAGTAACATTTAGTAGAGTTCTTACACTTAGTATACATTTAAAAAACCATCTCCTTCTATCAATTCTATTCTCTTCTTCTCTATCCATTCATATAATTAATTCTAAAGAGTTCTATATTTTAGTAAATTTTTGGTACACTTTTTATTCAAATTTCCAAAAACCGAACCGAAAAACCGAATTTCCGAACCTCATTCCAAATTTCATATTTCCAACTCTATTCCTTCATCATAGTGCCAAATTTAGTACTGTTTAGTACTTCTCGCATTTTTAGGTACATATTTCTAAAACCACCTTTAAATTTCAACTCTACATCGTAACAGTGACTCCAACATGAGCATTTCAAAATTTCAGCTCCATCCATTCACCCAAACCTAAATTGTACCAAATTACGTACCATTCAGTACAGTTCTTACATTAAGAATGCTTTGCTAAAAAAAAAACACCTCCTTATATCGAACCTACTCCCTCAACATGATTCTTATACTAAAATTAAAGGTTTTATCTCTATCCTTTCAAACAATTCTAAAGAGTACTACATTTCAGTAACTTTCGTACACTTTTTATTCGAATTTCCAAAAATTCTTTAGTCCATTTATCCTACACCCCGTCAATGACCAACTCAATTTCTTTTTCACATATCAAATATATTTTTAGTACACATTTTCAACATAAATTTCAAATCTCAACCCTACACCCTAGGAGAGAATTTCAAAATTCCAGCTCTATTCGTTCACCCAAATCCCATTTAGTACAGTTCTTACACTTAGTACACATTTCGAAGACAACCTACGTTTTACTATTACACCCATATAAGGGTATCTTGACGATTCGGTATCTTGACGATTGAAGCTAAATTTTCTAACGAATTTGTCTGAAATTTGGTGTTTGTAGTTCGTAATGGGTTCTAGATCCGTTATAGCACCCACATTGCGGTACCTACGGGTATTCTGTGCTTTGGTCATTTTACCTACATTTGCTTAACGACATTTCTTTGAACTTGGTATTTATAGTTTGTTATGGATCTTACCTTCTGTGGCATATCATTATCTATATAGGTTAAACTTTTTCCTATAGGTTTTATATAATCGTACCTTTTGCTTTTTTTTCCTAATGGTGGAGGCCTTTGAAAATTCTTACGTTTTTTAATGGTAATTTATTTACTCAGGTTCTTTGACTCTTTCTTCTGCAGGAGCTTCGGACGGCTGTTTCGCTGGAGCTTCAGCTCATTGAACCGTATTATAGATAAACATTGGTTGTTAATTAGAGGTAGTCATTAACCGCAGTGCTAGCTAGAATAGTTTTAAACGGCTAAGTCCAAACATACCCACAGCGAGCTGCCAAACCCATCAATCGCTGATAGCCTGGACATCTGCTTCCGAACATATCCAGAATTAGCTGTTACCGAATCTGAACAACTTAAGACGCCCTGGATATCTTCTACCGACTGAATGGTCTTCCATCAACGATTATACCACGAGTCCCCAATTCATCTCCAAAGACCTGGACATCACAATGCCAAGCACCTACACCGTAAACCCTCATTACCACCACTCGTCTGTTTGATGACTTCATATAAGCTGGAGTTTTTGGAAATTTGTAAAACTGTACTAAAAGTACAAAAGAGTACTAAAAAGTAATGATTTTTTTGGTTTTAAATTAAATATTTTTGGACGTAGAATCTTATTTATATCTGTATTTGGGAATCTGTACACGAAAGGTGAAAAAATGTACCAAATGTTGTACTTTTACATCGAGAATCCTTAAATTTGTTATTTGCCTTTGCCAGGCAAAATAATTAATTTTGTTGTAAATTATTAATGAAATTAAATTGTAATTTAATTGTTTAAAACAATAATTCATAGTTCGTATTAAAGTACCAAAATATACTTTTATTTAATTGGTACTAAAACGTACAAATTACAGGTTTTTTGGAGGTGAAATCTTGAATTTCCGCTTTTGTAGGCCAGCATTGCTTGAAGGCTTCTGAAAATGTGCTGTTTTTAGGAATATACACGTAAAAGGGTACTAAAAAGTCCCAAATATTACATTCACAACTCTTGCATTTGATATTTACTTTTGTCAAATAATGGAAAATATTTCCTGTGAAAATCGTTTATTTTTGGTACTAAACTAGCAACAAAATGTACTCTTTTTAAAAACTTGTACTAAAACGGCACCAAAATCTGTGTGTTTTGTATCTAAATTCTATTATTTTCGATGGTAGCGCACAAGGCATCTGATAAGGGACCGTGTATAAAAATAAGGACTAAAAAAATGTACTAAAACTACCAAGTATATTACTTTTACAGCCAGAATTCTTAAAATTTATATTTTTTTCTATTTGCAAAATGTTAAAACTTATAAAAATATGTGAAAATTAAAAAATGTACCAATATGTACTTTTTTGGAAATTTTTACTAAAACGGTACAAGAAAACACAGGAAACTGTGTTTTTGAATTTAGATATTATTCCTTTACATACATAATCTTAAAATTCCTCATTTAGATCAGTTTTGGAGCATAATTTACCGTTTTTGGGAATCTGTGCTAAAAAGTACCAAATCTGATAGTGTAGGGTGTTTGGGAATTTCTGCATCAAAAAGTACCAAAAATTCTTACAAAATGTAGTCTTAACGCCAATGAATTAGTCGAATTTTATTCGTCTTAGTTCCATGACTTTAATACATTTTTATACCCTCCACCATGGAAAGGAGGGTATATCAACTTTGTCATTCCGTTTGTAAAATTCCTAAATATTAATCGTAGATCCCTAAAGTATATATATTCATAATCAGCTAAAAGTTCTAAGTCGATTTAACGATGTCCGTCTCTCTGTCCGCCTGTCTGTCTGTTGAAATCACGATACAGCCCACATTATTTGACGTAGAGCGTCAAAATTTTAGCAACACAATTTGTATTATGTCTAGGATGGTCGGTATTGAAAATGAGATATATCGGTCCACGTTTTGGTATAGTCTCCATATAATGGTACCTTCCGATATTCGGTATTTTGATGATGTTCGCCACATTTTTTCACGGATTTGTCTTACAGTTGGTACTTGTAGGTCATAATGAGTTCCAGCTCGTGTGGCAAAACATTGTATGTGTAGATCCACGCTTTGGTATAGCCCCCATATAACGGTACCTCCCGATGTTCGGTATTTTGATGATTTTTGCCAAATTATTTCTCGAATTTTTTTAAAAATTGATGTTTGTGGGTTCTATGGGTTCTAGCTCGTGTGGCAAAACATTATATATGTAGGTCTACGTTTTGGTATAGTCCCCACATAACGGTACATCCCGATATTCGGTATTTTGATGATGTTCGCCACATTTTTTCACGGATTTATCTAAAAGCTGGTATTTGTAGGTCATAATGAGTTCTAGCTTATGTGGCAAAACATTGTATGTGTAGGTCCACGCTTTGGTATAGCCCCCATATAGCGGTACCTCCCGGTTTTCGATATTTTGAAATTGGGTTTTGATTTGGTTTTTACCTCATTTTTCCACAAATTTATTTAAAATTGGTATTTGTAGGTCATAATGGGTTCTAAGGTGGAGGGTATTTAAAGTTCGGCCCGGCCGAATTAATGTTTTTTTACTTGTTTTTTTTTATCACAAATTTTGTTGTAAAAAATATGCTTATGTTTATTTTTATTTATTTATTGTTTTTATTAATATTTTAATATTTATCTAAACTTTGTTATGTTATATCAATATTATTTATATTATTGTTATGATGATTATTATTCATATAACTTTCTTATGAAATTTTGACAATAAAACGACTTACTTCTTGTTCCAAGACCATTTCTATTATTGAATTTGGAAAATCTGGTTGTTTCTGTGTAACAAATCCAATTGGAAACAAAAAATAAAATTTGAATTAATACTATTTTGAAAATTTATTTCGGCAAAAAATCCCCCACTGTGCACAAATGTTGGGAAAGAAACGTCATGTGCAACATGTTTGCTAGCCTAAGAACTATGGTCAAAAATAACTCTAAACTATTTGCTAAAATGCATGGGGTAGGTGATAGAGTTAAGGGGAAAAGGAGTTTTGGGGGAGGAGGGTAAGAAGAAATATGGGGTTATATTATCTGAAAAATATACTTCAAATTTAAATATTATTTTTTTGATTTTTTTTTGTATTTTGGGTATTAGTATGTTGTTTGTTTGGATTCAAATGAAAATTGTTCCTCAAGGATATATACAAAAAAATTAAAAATAATTATAAGTTTTAATAACTAAATTAAAAATAATTTACAAAAATTAAAATTATTTTTGAAATGAAATCAATTAACGCACATTAACACATATCTGTTCAAATGGCCTTTGGCCACGTTTGGTTAGTTGGTTGGTTGGTTTGGTTGCACTTACCTTATAATGCTTAAATTCGGGTAATGTTTCTAGACAAAATATAACAATTGATAGCAATATAACAAATACACTAATTATGGCTACAACTCTGGCGGCTTGTGAACTTTCTGGATACTCAAAAAGTAACCAAACTTTTCTTTGATTTTCATTATCCGGCAATGGTCTTTCCTCTTCCTTAATAAAGCCTTCATCCTCTCTAAAGGTGATTGAAGAAGAAGAAATGGGAAATAGAGAAAAAAACGGTAACATAGAAATAGAAATTATACAATAATAATAAAAGAGAAGTAACACAAATATTTCAAAAAAACAATATTCATTTACATTTTATATAAATAAATAAATAACTACAACAAAGAATATTTTTTTTTTTCAGTTTTTTTTTTAATTTAATTTTTATTTTTTTTTTGCTATTTTGGCCAATTCCACTAGGTTATAATCAAATCATATCGACACAAATCCAGGAAAGGAAGAAAAATTCAAAGACGATACGGCAGCCTTATTCATATTTAAACACAATCACCAATTGTATCAAACTTTGAATTTTTTCAAAATTGAAAAATAAAAATAAAAAAATTTAAACAAAAAAAATAAAAAATCAAGGTATAGGGAAACGAAAAAGTCTTAGAATATGAAGAGCACACGACTGTTCGATTTTGTTTTGAGTTTATTTCTGTTTTAACGTTCTTCACATGTACAGGAAGGAGTGTCTTGGGCTGTTGAGTCATATCCTTGCTTGTGTGAAGTGTTGTTAGTAATCGGCGTTTAAATCAGGGATATATGGTCGATGTCGAAATGAAGTCGATTTAGTTAAGACTTTTATATATTTTTTAATTTTTTACAAAATTCCATAAAAAATCCATCCCTAGAGAGCCTTAAAAATTCTTTAAAAAATCCACGCCTATTAACCAGTAGGAGGTCTTTAAAAATCCTTTAAAAAATACACACCCATTGACCACTAGGAGGTCTTTAAAAATTCTTTAAAAAATCCAAGCCTATTAACCAGTAGGAGATCTTTAAAAAGTCTTTAAAAAATCCACGCCTATTAACCATGGGAGGTCTTCAAAAACTCTTTAAAACATCCACGCCTATTAACCAGTAGGAGGTCTTTAAAAATCCTTTATAAAATACACACCCATTGACCAGTAAAAGGTCTTTTAAAATCCTTTATATTATACACACCCATTGATCAGTAGGAGGTCTTTAAAAATTCTTTAAAAAATCCACGCCTATTAACCAGTAGGAGGTCTTTAAAAATCCTTTATATTATACACACCCATTGATCAGTAGGAGGTCTTTAAAAATTCTTTAAAAAATCCACGCCTATTAACCAGTAGGAAGTCTTTAAAAATTCTTTAAAAAATCCACGCCTAGGGACCAGTAGGAGGTCTTTAAAAATTCTTTAAAAAATCCACGCCTATTAACCAGTAGGAGGTCTTTAAAAATCCTTTATATTATACACACCCATTGATCAGTAGGAGGTCTTTAAAAATTCTTTAAAAAATCCACGCCTATTAACCAGTAGGAAGTCTTTAAAAATTCTTTAAAAAATCCACGCCTAGGGACCAGTAGGAGGTCTTTAAAAATTCTTTAAAAAATCCACGCCTATTAACCAGTAGGAGGTCTTTAAAAATTCTTTAAAAAATCCACGCCTATTAACCAGTAGGAGGTCTTTAAAAATTCTTTAAAAATTCCACGCCTATTAACCAGTAGGAGGTCTTTAAAAATTCTTTAAAAAATCCACGCCTAAGGAGCAGTAGGAGGTCTTTAAAAATCCTTTATAAAATACACACCCATTGTAGCAGTAGAAGGTCCTTAAAAATTCATTAAAAAATCCACTCCTAAGGAGCAGTAGGAGGTCCTTAAAAATTCTTTAAAAAATCCACGCCTAAGGAGCAGGAGGTCTTTAAAAATTCTTTAAAAAATCCACGCCTAAGGAGCAGTAGGAGGTCTTTAAAAATCCTTTATAAAATACACACCCATTGACCAGTACGAGGTCCTTAAAAAATCTTCAAAAAATTCACGCCTATTAACCAGTAGGAGGTCTTTAAAAATTCTTTAAAAAATCCACTCCTATTAACCAGTAGGAGGTCTTTAAAAATTCTTTATAAAATACACATCCATTGACCAGTGGGAGGTCTTTAAATTTTTTTTAAAAAATCCACTCCTATTAACCAATAGGCGGCTTTTAAAAATCCTTTATAAAATACACACCGATTGACCAGTAGGAGGTCTTTAAAAATTCTTTAAAAAATCCACGTCTTTAAAAATTCTTTAAAAAATCCAGGCCTAAGGAGCAGTAGGAGGTCCTTAAAAAGTCATTATAAAATCCACGCATAAGGAGCAGTAGGAGGTCCTTAAAAATGCAGTAAAAAATCTACGCCTAAGGGCCTGTAGGAGGTTCTTAAAAATTCATTAAAAAATCCACGACTGAGGACCAGTAGAGGATGTTTAAAAATTATTTAAAAAATCCACGCCTATGGACCAGTAGAGGATATTTAAAAATCCTTTAGAAAATACATACCCATTGACCAGTAGGATGTCTTTAAAAATCCTTTAAAAAATCCACGCCTATTGACCAGTAGGAGGTCCTTAAAAATTCATTAAAAAAAATCACGCCTATGGACCAGTAGAGGATATTTAAAAATCCTTTATAAAATACACACCCATTAACCAGTAGGATGTCTTTAAAAATCCTTTAAAAAATCCACGCCTATTGACCTGTAGGAGGTCCTTAAAAATTCATTAGAAAAATCCAAGCCTAGGGACCAGTAGAGGATGTTTAAAAATTCTTAAAAAAATCCACGCCTAGGGACCAGTAGAGGATGTTTAAAAATTCTTAAAAAAATCCAGGTCTATTAACCAGTAGGAGGTCTTTAAAAATCCTTAATAAAATACACACCCATTGACCAGTAGAGGATGTTAAAAAATTCTTTAAAAAATCTACGCCTAAGGACCAGTAGAGGATGTTAAAAAATTCTTTAAAAAATCCACGCCTATTGACCAGTTGGTCTTTAAAAACCCTTTATAAAATACAAGCCCATTGACCAGTAGGAGGCCTTTAAAAATTCTTTAGAAAAAAACACGCCTATTAGCCAGTAGGAGGTCCTTAAAAATTCTTTAAAAAATCCACGCCTATTGACCAGTTGGTCTTTAAAAAACATTTATAAAATACAAGCCCATTGACCAGTAGGAGGTCTTTAAAAATTCATTAAAAAATACACGCCTATTGACCAGTAGTAGGTCTTTAAAAATTCATTAAAAAATCCACGCCTTAGGACCAGTAGTAGGTCTTTAAAAATTCATTAAAAAATCCACGCCTATTGACCAGTAGGAGGTCCTTAAAAATTCATTAAAAAATCCACGCCTAAGGACCAGTAGTAGGTCTTTAAAAATTCATTAAAAAATCCACGCCTAAGGACCAGTAGGAGGTCTTTAAAAATTCATTAAAAAATCCACGCCAAAGGACCAGTAGGAGGTCTTTAAAAATTCATTAAAAAATCCACGCCTAAACACCAGTAGAGGATGTTTAAAAATTCTTTAAAAAATCCAGGCCTAAGGGCCAGTAGAGGATGTTTAAAAATTCATTAAAAATTCCACGCCTAAGGACCAGCAGGAGTTCCTTAAAAAATCATTTAAAAATCTACGCCTAAGGACAAATAGGAGGTCCATAATTTTTTTTAAAAAAATCCGCGCCTAAGGACCAATATGGGGTCCTTAAAAATTCTTTAAAAGATCCACGCCTAAGAACAAGTAGAGGATGTTTAAAAATTTCTTAAAAAGTCCACGTCTAAGGATTTTTCAAAGAAATTAAAAATTCTTTGAAAAATCCACTCCTAAGGACCAGTAGGGGGTCCTTAAAATTCATTGAAAAATCCACGCCACCCTTCGAGGGTCTTTAATTTTTCTTTTTGAAAAAATCCAAATTAATTGTTTTATCTTTGGAATATTGAACCGAAATGGTTTCGATTTTTCACAACTCAATTTAACGACACTCGACCCATATATCCCCGGTGTATTGAAGTTATTTTGTATTTTCTTGTGACATTTACATGTGTATATCATGTTGTCTATTGGTTTTGGTTTCTATGTTTCACATGTTGTGGTGGTACTTTGCAAATGTTCATTCTTATTGTGATCAAAAAACATGCTCTCAAAATTTGTATGCGATTCTTGAGAATTTTGTTTTTTGTGTCACAACAAGAATGCAGAGATCGTCGCTTGAGTTGAGTCAAGTGATTTATTTATTTTTTTTTTTTTTTTTCAAATTTTCTTTTACTGAACAGAGAACGAACACAGCAAAAACACATCACATTTCATTTATCTAAAAAGCTCATGCAATGCTTTACTAGCATTCTTGCTTTGGTTGCCTTTTCTTGCTACAAAATGCTTGTGGGCGTAACATGCCGGACGCACAGAGGCCAAGCGCTCTATCACACACACACACGCGTACAACAACAAGTCAAGAGAAAATGTTTTCACTTTTTGCCAAAAGTGAAAAACATTTCCCAGTTCATGTGTTGTACGGTTGGATGTATGGATGGCTGCCAAGTGGGGTAGGTTGCGCCCACCGGTGGGGTGTATGTTGGTGTGTGTGTCTTCATTCATTATCGTATTTCAAAAACGAACGTGTTGGTTTGTGGGTGGTTTATTTCTTCTATTTTTTGTTTGTTTTTTTTTGTGAATTTATCTAAATTCAATTCATTGCTTTTTCGTTCAACTTGATACCACGGGCCGGCCCCTTTGTCGTATGAACAAAATTTTAAGCTGGTGGTCAAGTGAATTAATGTCTAAACAACAATGCTTGCTGGGTGTGTGTGTGTGTGTGTGTGTATACGAGTATGTATGTGTTTTTTGTATGTGTCAGGTGTGGTTGTGTGTATTTTCTAATGTTTGTATTGGCATATTTATGTAGTTTCATTGGGTCAGATTATGGTTTATTTTTTATGTGGCATTTTTTTTTTAATTTTTATATTTTGTTTTATTACTGTAAACAAACAATAAATCAATTTTTTAATTTGTTCAAATTTACTTTCTTGTAGAATACGAGGAGAGAGCGTTAAGTTTGGTCAACAAAAAAAAAACCTATTCGAAAATTGCTGAGGGAATCGTTCTTCAATAACTAATTATAAATGTGGGAAGATGGAGAATATATCTTATTTTAAGATGGAACAAGTAAAAAAGTATCGGTCGGTTTTGCCGACAGATGTATACCCTCAGCCAATGATTATTATTTTAAAATATTTTGACTTCTGTTATGAATTTTCAAACATTTGACCATCTATGGAGTGGGTTTGGAAAGAAGGGGTCAATATTGTCCATTTCATATCGGACCTAAATAAATATAAATATATAATAATATTAATTATATATATATATATATATATATATATATATATATATATATATATATATATATATATATATATATATATATAAATATAAATATAAATATATATATAAATATAAATATATATATATATATATATATATATATATATATATATATATATATATATATAAGAAATCGAACATTTAATCCAATTCATGGTAAATCACAAATTCCATATTCATCTCAGGATTCTGGATAAGAGACATACATTTAGATATAGCAAGCTGTAAAGAATCGCAGAGTTTTTTTGCAATTTATGACTGATAAAAGTACTAAAAATGTTGTACCTTTGTGGGTGAGGTACCAGAACGGGTTTGCAGATGTCTATCATCTTAACAACAGATCTTGTATTAGCAAAAATGTTGTATGTGTGAAATTTAAAGAGACGTGGACGCTTATTTCGCTTTCTTTGAGCGTTATGTTTTTCAAAAATTTGAACCCTATGTGGGGCAGGTAGCAAAAGAAATGGTCCGATCTCTACCATCTTTATAACAGATCTTGTGTTGATGCAAGTGAGATGTACGGAATGTATGGAATGGAATCAGATGTTGATTTTTATGAACTTCATGCATATTTAAAATTTTTAGCGTTTGTGGGAGAGATACCAGAAGGAGTGGAACGATATACTCCATCTTAATACCAGATTTTGGGTTCATACATATAGTAGGATATGTGAAATTTGATAACAATTTCATCACCAATATTATCAATTTTGATTATTGCTTCCCTTTCTGTGCTGATTTTTTTTCAAATTTCGACCATTTGTTGGGGAGGTACCAGAAGGAGTGGACCGATTTTGCCCACCTTAACACCAGACCTTGGGTTAATATAAATATTGGGATGTGTGAAATTTGAAGAAAATTGGACTCTTACATCACGATTTATGAGAGTTGTAATTATTTAAAATTTTGACCATTTGTGGAGGATGTACTTGATGGAGTGGACCAATATTGTCGATTTTCACACCTGACATAGCACTGACGCAAATATTAGGATATGCAAAGTTGAAGCAAAATCGGAGTATCCTTTCTCTTTCTGTGCAAAAAATAAATATATATTTTTTTCAAATTTCGACCTTTTGTGGGGGAGGTATCACAAAGAGTGGACCGATGTTGTCCATCTCCTAACTGGATCTAAATTTGACAAAAATATTACGATGTACCCAGTTTGGACAAAATCGGACACTCCCTTCGCGAGTTATCGTGCGCACCAGCCAGACAGACGGACGGACGGACGGGCGGACATCGCTAGATCGACTACAAATATTCTAAAACAGATCTGGTCCAAAGAGCCCTACGATCTAAGACCGTTATTTTGACTAGACTGAGGGTATACAAATAAATATATAGGAACCATGACCCCTGAAGAGGACACTGGAAACCGGGACCTTCCGAAATGATTACTATTAATTTCATATTTAAACTTTTATGTGGCAAATTTATTTTTTTTCAAGTCCGAATGGTTCGAAAAGTAAAGAAGCGACTTGATCGAAACTCGCGTCGCAGTGGTCGAACAATGGCTCGTGAGCTGAACATATCGCAATATTCCATTCGGCAAATATTGAAAAATTAGCTCGGAGTAAAGCCAATGAAATTCCAAAAAGTTCAAGAACTTACACAGCAACAGAAAGAAAATAGACTCAAAAGAGCTAAAGAGTTGCTTTGCTTGGCCGAAAGTGGTGAACTGCCGAATTTGGTTTTCTCCAATGAGAAAACATTCGTTGTCGTTGTCCTGCAGTTTGTAAACAAACAAAATAATCGTCTTTACTTGCCAAAGAGGTCAGCAGAAAATGTGAACCTTCGATTGGCCACCGGAACTCAAGCGCCTGCCATGGTGATGGTGTGGGCCGCCATAACAGCCAATGGCATTAGAATAAATACCGAAAATATTCTGGAGTATTAAAGCCTTGGGCACGCAAAAATTTTGGCCACAGACCTTGGACATTCCAACAGGACTCAGCACCGACGAACTCAGCAGGTGCCACCCAAGAAAGGTTACAAAATGAGGGTTCACTCTTTATTTCCAGCGCACGATGGCCACCAAAATCTCCGGATACCAATCCGTTGAACTACTGTGTCTGGAGTATTTTGGAAAGCAAGGTTGGCACTAAAAAGTACCTCAAGCAAGCGCTTCGCCGGAAATGGACCAAAATACCGCATTCGGGCAGCATGTGACGGTTTCATTGACCGTTTGAAGGCCATAATTCGTGCCAAAGGTGACCAATTCGAGGAAATCTTGAAATTTTGATGCTAATTCCGACATTTTTTGCTTTCATTCAATAAAATTTTAAAAAAGTAAAATTTATGGAGATTTATTTTGTTGCAGTTTTTTTTATCTGACCCTGTGTAGGATCCTGATATGACCTTCTGTCGCAAGGTTTTTTTTGGGACAAATTATAAATATTATTATTTTTTTTTGTATAGTTTAGTTAATTTTTATTTATTTTTTATAAATTCCTTTATGAAAAAAAAACACCCACACTTAACGCACCCTCTCTTCTCGCACTCGCATTTTTAGTATTTGAATATTTGTTTTAAAATGTATTTTGGTTTTGAAACGAATAAACAACAATTGCATAAAAACCATAAAACAAACTACGACAGTTTTATAAATTATAAATTCAAATTCATTACTAAACATGGAAAGCAAATTTGCAATAAATTTTAATTTCTCTCTAAATAACCACAACAGAAAAATGAATTGGTTAAAACAACATAAAATAAAATATTGCAATTGTGTGGATATTTCATACAAAAAAATAAATAATTATCATTATCATTAATTTATATCAATCAATTAATCATTCCAATACACAAACAAAATCAAGGAATTTTTTAAACAATAAAAAAACTCTGTTTGCCAATTACAAGAAAATAAACTTAAAAATAATGCAGTTTTGATTTCAAAATTTGGCACAAAGAATAAATTTAGGCTTTTTTTTTCGTTACAAAAAAAAAAATAAAATTTTGAGATTTTCAATATTTTTTTTTTTTTAATTTTTGACAAAGTCTGTAGTTATGTATAAAACTCAACGATTAACGTACATTTAACGCAGTTAGGTGGTAAATTAAATCTTACCTGAATTTATTAATTGCTTGATCACCTAATTCATAAAATTTTATTTCTTCACTAAATACGTCTAAAGGGACATTGACCGGTCTCCGTAGTCGGCCACCTAGAAATTTCATATTTTCATATTTTTTTTTTTGATTGGTTGGCAGGCAGCAGTCAGACAGGCAGGCAGGAGAATCGTAAGGAGGATGCACAACAGGATAACATAAATTACGTTTTGGGAGGGGACAATTGGTAACACACGAAAATAAAAATAAAAAAACCATTTAAATTAAATATAAATAAATTATAAACAAAATAAAAAAAATAATCAAATGATAAATAAAATAAATACATATTTCATATAAATATATTATTTGTTGTTATCGTTGTAGTAGTAGTAGAGGTTGTTGTTGAGTTTTTGATTTTTGGTTAAATATTATTATTGGTAATATAATATAAAAGAAGAGGAGAAAAAATATATTTCAAGATTAGTTAGTATATGGTATAATTATATATTATTATAATAAAAAAAATTAAATTATTTTTTAGTGTCACCAAGTTAGAGATCCTGGCCTGGTGAGCAATGCTGTAAAAGATTTAGAAGAGTAATGGCAACTTTTCGAACTTACCACTTTGATAATAGTATAAAATAGCATCGAAGCTCGGTCGACTACGGTCAAAAAAATATTCGTTTCTCAGCGGGTCAAAGTACCGTAATCTCCGAGCTGGATCCCCCAGTAACGTATCGGGGAACTGATTTAACGTTCGTAATTGTGTTTCAAACCTTAACCCGCTTACCTGAAATGGGAGGAGAAAAAAGAAAATAATGAAACAATAACAAGTAAAAAAGCAGTGAGTTCGGCCGGACCGAACTTCGAATATCCTCCACCACTTCGAACGAATTAGAAAATTTTCAAAAAAAAAAAAAAAAAAAAAAAAAATACATGGAAAATTCTGTTAAAATCTTTAAAATACCTAATATTGGAAGGTGCTGATATGGGGGTATATGCAATATTGTGGACCTATATAGACAGATCTGGGGCTAAAGTACTCACAAGGAACACCTTGTGTGGATTTCAGACCATTCCATTAGAAAATGTGGCTAAAATCATCAAAATCCCGAATATCGGTGGGGGGAGGGGGGATATCGTGGACCTATATAGATAATTCTCTTCCAAGGGATAAAGTACCCACAATTCCGTTGAAAAATGTGGCTAAAATCATCAAAATACAGAATACGGGGGTGTATCGTTATATGGGGGATATACGATATCGAGGACCTATATAGACAATTCTCTTTCAGGGGGTGAAATACTCACAAGGAACTCTTTGTGTGGATTTTTAGACCACTCCATTAAAAAATGTGGCTAAAATCATCAAAATACCGAATATCGGGGGGTACCGTTGTATAAGGGCTATACGATATCGTCGACCTATATAGAAAATTCTCTTCCGAGGTATAAAGTACCCACAAGGAACTCCTTGTGTGGATTTTCAGACAATTCCATTGAAAAATGTGGGTAAAATCATCAAAATACCGAATATCGGGGGGTACCGTTATATGGGGGCTATACGATATTGTGGACCATCTTTGAACTTGACCTGCCTGCAGACAAAAGACATGTGTGCAAAATTTTAGCTTCTTATCTTAATTCGTTTAGACTGTTGCGTGATTACAACAAACGGACAGACAGACAGACAGACGTCTTAGAATTTTACGCTGATCAAGAATATATATACTTTTACAAACGGAATGACGAACTTAATATACCCTCCATACCATGTATGGCGGAGGGTATAAAAACAGTAATATAAGGTCCTAGATTAATTGCTGCTGGATATTTGGTGGGCTGTGGGCTCGAATATTGTGTGTCATGCATGCATCAATAAAGAGAAGACAGATGATTGGCAAAACATGCCATTGAAAGTGGTAGCAAGTACGAATTCCAAAAAATAAATTTCGATTTTCGAATTCCGTCGAAAAATGTGATATAAATCATCAGAATCCCAATTATGGTTAGTTGCGTGGTATGTGGACCTGTATTCTGGACATGGATTTTTTTTTATCAGAGAAGACAGAGATTATCTTCAATACCAACTCTGAAATAATTCCCTCTAAGATTGCCTCTAAATTTACCAAAGTACTAAATATGGGGAGGTACCATTATATGTTGGCTATACAAATACATGGACCTGCATAGACAATTTTCTGTTAGAGGTACCCATTACGAAATTAAAATAATTACGGTTAAAAGGTGGCTAACATCATCAAAATACCCATTAGTTGGAAGCGCCGTTGTATGAGGTCTATACGAAGACGAGGGTTTGTATAGGCATATTTCTGCCCGAATGTTGCTCTGCGGTATTTTGGCCCATTCCCGGCGAAGCGCTTGATTTAGGTGACACCATCACCTTGGCCGGCGCATGAGATCTGGTCGCCAACCGAATGTGCACATTTTCAGCTGACCTCTTTGGCAAGTAAAGACCATCATTTTGTTTGTTTACAAACTGCTGGACAAGGAATATTTTCTCATCGGAGAAAACCAAATTCGGCAACTTACTAATTTTGGCCAAGCGAGGCAACTCTTTAGCTCTTTTGAGTCTATTTTCTTTCTGTTGCAGTGAAAGTTCTTGCATGGTACGAGACACAAAAGATTAATTCACATTTGAATGCTGGACTGCTCTAACGCAGACAGAACTTGTGGTTTTCCAGCCAAAATATAAAGAAATCACACTATCACTCTTGAATTCCACAACGAATACCTTTTTTTCTGGAAAATTCTCACCAAAATGCTTTTGTGCGCTTGTAAACAATATAATGAGCTGTCATTGGAATAATTTTAACAGCTGCCGGACGAGTGGCTTAGAAATGACAGCAGTCTGAAGTTGGTTGCAGTTTTTTTCATCTCACCCTGTATTTAAAACGATTCGAAAATTATTCGGGTTATTGAAAACGCTTCAGCAGTTAAATCAAAATTATAGGTTCATGTCCACAGTCCCATATCTCTATATCCAGAATAGATGAACATATTGTTTGGAATGTTTGCCATAATTTGTCATATACTTTGTATATGCTATAGTGAACCCTTACTTGATTTTTTTGGGGTTATATAAAAAATTCGAGTTCAAAAACTCGATAATCTAGATATAACTTCCGAATCATATGACTAACTTTTCACTATTTTCCTTAGATTTTCTATAATATCTGTATTGTCCATATCGGTTCAGTAGCTCCAGGTCATAAGTCCCCAAGTAAAAATTAATTTCCCGACACCATAATACAAAAAAAAAAAAACTTACCTCTAGAAAAAATTCAGAAAAATCTGATTTTTTACTACACTGGAGGTCATTATATACAGGTCGTAATTATCGTCCGATTCTCACGAAATTTTGCTTGGGGGTAGGGTTAGGGAGAGAATTGAAGGCTATTGTTTTTGAAGGTGTATATTTAGGGGTTAAAATGAATCAAAAAATTAAACATTTTCTGATCTCACAGTCGCCGGTCCAGTTAGCACGACAGAGGGCGTAAATATAGGTCAAAAACCAAAGAAAAAATTTTTGAAGGACTGTTTTGCATGATTTCAAAGACGAAAAAGACCAAAATTGGGTTGAACGTAAGGGGGGTTTTCCAATATATTATAGTGCTGTGAACTATCACATCAACGGCCCCGCAAGATTATAGCCCTCGCTTGATTGTTTTGTGCATTTTTCGTCAAAATTCGGTTCCAACAATTAAATTCTGGCAAACTTTACCACATTTTTTTAAATATATATTTTATATTTAATTGCTTTAGACTCATTTCCAGGAGTGGTTCCCCTCCTGCCTTTCTTAAATATGCTAATTTCCATTTCAAAAAACTCCTACTTAAAGTCCTGGTCTTAAAATCTTGAGATAAAATATAGTTATTATTCCCATCCCAATAATAAGATATTTTAAGAAATTGCATTCGGTTTCTTTTTCCTTAATTTTTGAAAAATTACACTAACCCATTAATATTTTTTTCCCAAGAAATAATATTAATTTTCATCAACACCCGCCCAACTGCCATTAATGAACATTAATGCTTATTTTTAGCATTCTTAATGTTCTATTTATGCTAGGAACCCATCTTCCATCTGCGTGTGGATAGAGCATCTTTCCATATTAAATTTCAAGAAAATTGGTTAATTTCCTGTTTCCGCAGCTGCTTGTGTTTTCAGTTGGGGTAAATATATATTTTTATTAATAGGACAATGAACTTTAAATATTAACGCTAGATTAACTTCAATGACTATTTATAATTTAAGCAAAGAAAAAAGGGAAATTTTTGATAAGAAGGGGTGGAGGGGAAACTGAGGAGGGAAGGAAACGTTTTTTTTTTACTGTAGTAAACAAAATTAAAAAAAAAAAAAAATAACCAGAAGAAAAAAATTAAGAGAAATATGTATATAAACAGAGATCTCAATATCGAAAATATTTCATGAAAATGTGTGGGTAGCTTGTAGCACTTCTTAAAAAGCAGGAGGAAAAAAGAAAAAAGTTGTAAAAAGAAAAACAACAGTTCTATTATTCTGGATCTCGTGTATCAACAAAAAAAAGTTTCATAAAAATATTAGGGTGGCTTAAAACACTTTCTAACCAAATTAAAAAGTATCAGTTGGTTTTGCCTACAGATGTATACCCTCAGCCTTTGTCAGTTTATTAAAATATGTTCTCACTTACATTATGATTATGACAAATATTGACCCTTTTTGGAGGATATACCTGAGGAGTGGTCCAATATTATCCACTTCTCATCTGAATGAACTCTGACACGAAGAGTTCCACTTCATCTAATACTGATACGAATATTGCGATGTGCAGAATTTAAAGAAAGTCAGGGTATTACTAATTTCATGGGAATAATTGTAAATTCGTAAATTTAACCGTTGTCGGGAAGCCGTTCAACTCCATTTCCGCGTCAATCGCTCATTTTTTTGCAAGTTATTAGAGATATAAGCATTTAAAATTGTTCCCTTTGTGGGGGAGGAGCAAGAAGGGGTAGGCCTATATCTTTTATCTTCATGCCAGATCTTAAATTTATAAAAATATTGCAATGTGAGGCATTTGAAGAGAATCGAATGCTTATTTCGCATTTTAGGAGCCATTTGCTTATTCAAAATTTGGAACAATTGTAGGGGGAGGTACCAAAAGGAGTGGCCCGATATATTCTATATCCACAGCATATTTTGTGTTAGTAAAAATATTGGGATGTGCGAAATTTGAATAGTATCGAACGCTTATTTTGCATGATCGTTTTATGAGCGTTTTGGTTATTCAAAGTTTTGACCAGTTGTGGGGGAGGTACCAGAAGGAAGGGTCCGATCTCTACCATCCTTATAACAGATCTTTTGTTGATAGAAATACTAAGATGTGCCAAGTGTTAATAAAAACGGAAGTTAATTTCTCGTTTTATGAGCTTCATGGATATTCAAAACTTTGACCCTTTGTGGGGGAAGTACCAGAAGAAATGATGCGATCTCTACCATCCATATAACACATATTGTGTTGATAAAAATATTGAGATGTACCAAGTCTGAAATGTTAATCGGATGTTAATTTCGTTTTTTTTTTTTTGGGTTTCATAGATATTCAAAATTTCGATCTTTTCTAGGGGACATACCGGAAGGAGTGGATCGATATGTCCCATTTTCACAGCATATCTTGTGTTAGTAGAAATAATGGGATGTGTGAAATATAAAGAGAACCTGATGCTTAATTCCTGTTTTATGAGCTTAATGACTATTCAAAATTTCGACCTTTTGTGAGGGAGGTACTAGAAGGAGTGGACCGGTATATTCCATCTTAGCACAAGATCTCGAGTTTATAAAAATATTGGGATCGGTGAAATTTTCAGACAACCGGACTCTCACATCACATTTTATAAGAGTTATAATTATTCAAAATTTTGACCCTTTGTTGGGGAGATACTTGGTGGAGTCGACCGATATTATCCATTTTCGCACCTGACCGAGAACTGAGGCAAAGATTAGGATTTGCAAAGTTAGATCGAAATCGGATTATTGCTTCTCTTTCTGTGCAGAAAATATATATTTTGAAAATTTCGACCTTTTGTGGGGTATGTACCAGAAGGAGTGGACCGATAATTTCCATCTTAACGCTAGACCTTGGGTTAGTAAAAATATTGTGATGTGTGTTATTTTAAGGCAATCGTACACTTTTATCACATCTTAAAGGAATTACAGTTATTCAAAATGTTGACCGTTTGTGTGGGAGGTACTTGATGGAGTGGGCCAATATCGTCCATTTTCGCACCAGATCTAGTACTGATGGAAATATTGGGATTTGCACAAAATGTAATGATATTTTTTCTTTTAATGGGGCAAATTGTTGTCTTTGAAAATATCGACCATTTTTTGGGGAGGTACCAGAAGGAGTGGACCAATATTACCCATCTCCGAACTCGATCTAAGTTTGGCAATACTATTACCATGTACCAAATTTGTATCAAATCGGATACTTCCTTCGAGAGTTGTGGTGCGCAGCAGCCAGTCAGACAGACCGATGGGCGAACGGAAGGACACTTATAGATCGACTCCAAATGTCCCGAAACGGATTTGGTTCAAAGAGACCTAGGGTCTAAAACAGTTATTTCGCTGAAGCATGTTTTGGCCGTATCAAATGATATATACCCCCTGTAGCCATATAGCTGAGGGTATAAAAAAGAGAAGGTGTAAAAAGGAAAATAACACTCAGGATCGATAGATTTTTTTGACGGCTTGTAGAGGTTATTTCAGATATCTTAAATTAAAAAAAAATATTATATTAAAGTCCTTATAAAATAAATGGCTTATAAAAGTTCCTTATCCTTTGAAAGACCACTGAACCCCTTTTCGAAAAATTATTTTCAAGCTTAAAATAAACATGTAAAAACCATTTGCCCTTTTATACGAATAACAATGTTCATGTCACCTCATATTTAAATTTAAATACCACTTTGCCCACCACCAAATATCCACTTCGAATTAACAATAATAAAAACAAATTGTTTAAACCAAACAAAAAATCAAGAGGCAATAAAAAAAGTCATACTTACATTTATAACAACTCTTTCGCAAAAATCATGATCATGAGGAATGGGTTCAAAGTGTTGTGGCCCGCCACCATAGCCATGACCAGCCCCCCCTTCTTCGTCTTGACTGCTCAATTTGGGTAAAGACCTAAGGGAGAAAAGTAGAAAAACAAAAAAACAAATAAATTATTATCATTATGGTTTTTTTTTAATATATGAGAAATGCAATTTAAACACTTAGCCTATGGAGAATTGTTTTTTGTTGTTGATTTGCTTTACAAAAACTATAAAAATCCTTGTAAAACTGTAAAGCCTTCTTCAGCCATGAGCCAAGTGGCAAGTCTGTCATCCTGCCAGTTGCTCTTTTGCATGTTGCCAAAAAAGGGAAGGAAAAACCCAGCCAAACCAATGCTTGAAAGCCATGTTTGTTCAACCACTTGTAAGCAACGTCATCAACAATTGCAATCACAATTTGTAACCCACACACACATACACACACCGAACATTGCGAGCAATAGGTCGGCTCCAAGTTTTTGGCTCGTTGACAAAAACCCAAAAAAAAAGTGTGGTTGTTAAAGTTCACACTGTAATCTAAATCAATTTAGCCATAATTGTAATTTGCCACATAATAAAGCTGATATGTTTTTTTTAGTTTCTTTTCAATAAAAATGGAATGCCATTTTAAGGAGAGGTTTTCGGTTCTTTGTTGTTGCACCTTGTGCCTATGCCAGCAGCAAGCCATTATATTGCCATAAATGTTTAATTGACCTGAAGTGCTGGGAATAATTTTTAATACTCAAAACACAGGCAGGAAATAAGAAAACGTAAGAACATTTAAATGTTTAAAATAGTGATAACTTAGGGTTACTCAGGAGAATATTTTTGAGGCATTCTAAACAAGGCGACCATCACAGAGCGAATACCGCTTTGGTGTCTTCTAAACATAAATAATTTTTCGGAACACATGCTGGGAGTTTCAGGAACCGAAAAGGGTATATTAAAAGCATATATTAAACATTTACAATATAAGCTTGGATAGCTTTACAACGAACGAATTGGAATTTGGAAAATACCGAATATAGCCGTTATAACGGGGTCTATACGACGTGGACCTACATAGGCATTGTTTTTTATAAGCCATTACCATATTCAAATTCGAAACTTGAAATAAACGGTGAATAATGCAGCTAAAATCGTCAAAATTTCGTATATACGGAGCTACCGTTATATCGTAGCTGTACGAAGTCCTGGACCAGCAAAGACAATTTTCTGTCATAGGCTGCAGCATCCATTACGAACTTCAAATATGACATCTCAAACAATTTCGGTGGGTATTATACCTAAACTCAAAAAACCGAATATAGGGAGGTACTAATATAGGGGGCCTATAAGAAGACCTAGACCTGCATAGACAATTTTCTGTCACAGACTGTAGTTCCCATTACGAACTCTTAATACGTAATTTGAAACAATTCCGGTTAATAATGGCGCTAAAATCATCAAAATACCGAATATAGGGAGGTACCGTTATATGGGAGCTATACGAAGACGTGGACCTGTCCAGACAATTTTCTGTCTTAGGCTGTAGTATCCATTTCGAACTTCAAATACCAAATTTGAAACAATTCCTGTGAATAATGACGCTAAAATTATCAAAATACCGAATATTGGGAGGTACCGTTATATGGGGGCTATATGAAGACGTGGACATACATGACCCATTTACGAACTTAATCTGCCTACTGGAAAATTAAACACGTGTGCAAAATTTTAGCCTTCTATCTCAAGTCGTTCGAAAGATAGCGTGATTACAACAGACAGACGGACAGACTAATCGACTTAGAATTTTACGCTGATCAAGAATATATATGCGGAATGACAAAGTTAATATACCCTGCATAGTATGGTGGAGGGTATAAAAACACGATTCAAGTCCCGAACTCCCATTATAAAAACCTGACGACTAACTTAATGCTCCGAAGGTATCAGATAAGGCTGGGTTTTTTAAAATTCGCACTAGAACGAAAAATACTAAATGGTACTAAATTTGGTACAATTCCGATTTGGGTGAACCGATGCTGAAATTTTGATACAAGATTGCTATTGCATTGTAGGATTGACGCATATAGAAGTTTTGGAATTTTGAACTTATGTGCACTAAATCGTACTAAATTTCGTACAATTTAATTTTTGGGAAAACCGGAAGAGTTCGAAGCGTAAAATTTAAAATTGGATGGATACTGCTTTAAATCTGGTTTTGGAAATACATACTAAAAAGTATAAAATTGTACTAAAATTGATATTTGGATAGGGTATTGACTTGGACCACTAAACTTTGGCATTGAGATCATCTTCTGTGCTGTTTGGTTGATACATGGCAGAGGAATTGGAAATAAGTACTAAAAAGTACGAAGATTACTAAATGGTATTAACATTTATATCTGGCGAAAGATAGAGCCGAAGGTCTGAAATTTGGCGTAAGAGTCTTTGACATTGTGTAGTATAAACAAGACAAAGGATTTCTTCCAATTCTAACCAAAAGTACTAAAATTCACTAAATTTGGTACCATTTGGTATTATGTGAACGAATAGTGGTAAAATCTTGAAATTTGGTATAAGAATCAATTCTTGGAAGTGGGTCGATTCCTTACATCAGGAGGGGTCGAAATTGTGTAATAAGTGTAAGAATTTTACTAAATCGTACTAAATTTGGTACAATTCCGTTTTGGGTGAAGATAAGAAGCAGGTAATTTGAAATGTTGGTATTTGGTGGTAAATTTTGTTGGTGGTATATTTGTGATAAAAAGATGATTTTGGAAATATGTTCTAAAAGTGCACGAAAGGTACTAAATAGTACTTAATTTGGTACAATTTGGTATTGGTTGAATATATTGTGCTCAAAATCTGAAATTTGGTATCAGGGACGCTGTTCATGTGCAGTCCTGACATAAGAAGTTTGTTTGAAAAATGTGTACTAAAATTGTACAAAAATAACAAAATGGTACTAAACTTCGTTTACGGCGAAGTAATAGAGCTGAAATCCTGAAATTTGGTGTTGGTGTCATTGGTTAAGATATAGGTGACATTGGTTAAGATATAGGGGTGGTTTTAAAATGCGTCCTATAATTGTTCGCAAAGAACCAAGTGGTACTAGGTTGGGTATTGGATGCAGGGATAGAGCTCAAATTCTGAAATTTTATGTTGGTGTCTCGGTTGGTATCTAGAATTGAGATATAGAGGTGGTACTAAATTGGGTATTGGTTAAAAGAATAGTGCTGGAATCCCGAAATTTGGAATTGATGTCTCTGTGGGTATCTCATGGAGGTTTTGCAAATGCGTACTATAATTATTTCAAGAGTACTAAATGGTACTAATTTTGGATCACTGTTGGATGTAGAGATGTCGATTGTTTTACATATGCTTACTAAATGTTACTAAATTTTTGTATCGGGTAAAGGGATAGAGCTGAAATTCATTAATTTGATATTGAGATCTCTTTTGTAGACTACCTGAGAAGACTGTGGATAAGTTTTGGAAGTCCACCATTAAAAGAATACCTTTTACATGGTTTCTTTGAAGAGAGGAACTTCAATCGGTCTTCTATGTATAGAGGACCTTCTATAAGCTATCTATGTAGAAAAGGCATTTTAAAACAGACGTGAGCAATGATGTGTTGTACGCATCCGGCCAAATGCTCATAGTTTTTGTTGAACAACGAGTCAATAACTAAGTAAACGTTGTAACATGCCATAAAAAATGCTTTCGTTAGGTACACGTAGAGATGTGTCAATTTAGTTCATAGTTAAGTACACCGGCTCCTAAACGTATGAGTGATTTCATAATCTTCATATAAATTGATATCACTCATACGCAGAGTTGTCCACGGAGTGGAACAAGTATTTAATGGATTAGGTGTTCTCTGAGGGTCTTAAAAGAAGAGAAAGTCGTTTACAAGTCTTAAATGAAAAAATAAATTTTATATATTTTCGATAACTAGACCGAAAATCCAGCGTAGAATTTTATAAGGGGAAAACCTTGGAAATGTCTCCTTAGGATACAAGACCTTTAAACAATTTTTTCGGATTTGGAAAATTTTTGGGAGGTCTTACAAGTCCTTGGGGAGCTCTTTAATATAGAAAAGCTATATGTTGGGATACTTATATATAAATTACCTTTGGGAGGTTTCTATAGGTTATGGAAGTCTGTGTAATTCAGTTTTTTTTTTAATATAAAATATTGGGGAGATGGGGTTTTGGTACAGTACTTTTGGTAGGTATTCGGAAGATCTTTGGCTGAATATAAAATACAATATAGACGGAATACTTGTGGGAGGTTTTATATATATGGAGAAACTTTGGCAGCACCTTCTTATTGAGATCCGCTTTAAATAGAAACCCTTTGAATAGCTTCTAAGAAAACATTTATGGATATAAGGCATTCTATGGGTAATAGACCATGGGATGACTTCTATAGGCAGTAGACACTTGAAGTTATAAGTGAAAGTCATTCCCGTGGTCTTAATCATCTAGAAGATTTTTAAAAGTCTACTTAAGGGTGAGAACATTTCATCAGCTTGATGTTACCTTTAAACATAAAATTAGTTTGTTTCTCATTCATTTTCTCAAAAATATTCGGATTTTTTTTCTCATTTCCATCATCATTTATTGAGCAGCTCTAACGTTTTCTAGCCGTGACACCTCACCGACTGTGGTATTAAAAAAGAAAATGCATAGCTGTTGAAAAACTAAACGCTTCATGCATTTCCATTGCACTTTTGCCGAGTACATAGAGCGAGATAGAGAGCTATGAAAGAAACATAGCACTGCTTAACACTGTAGGTTATACATAAAACTTAGATATATAGAAATGGAAGTATATATGCGGCATGTGACGTCATAGACTGTTGTATATAGGTAAAGGGAGAATGAAACAGAAACAGAGAGAGAAAATATCAATCAAGAAAAGAGATTGAGAAAGAGAGTGGCAGTGGCATTAATACCCTATGACCGCCTTATGAAGAAAGTGAATGACGTTTTAATACCGTTTGTTCAAAAGTTGACGTTAATGATTTGTTTTCATGAACCGCAATAGGGAGAAAGAGAAAGAGAGAGCGAGAGAGAACTGAATGACGAGCGGCCTCACTGAGGG